CTATGCAATACTAAACCAAATATAATTATAAAAGGGGGAGGGAAGCTGTGCTTTTTTTTCATGTTTCTTTCACCTTAATTTCATTTTTTCATTTCGTATTCTAGCCAGAAAATATAGCATCATCTGCCAGTTATCTTTCCCATGGAGAATATCTGAGTTGAGATAGGAGGAAATTTTAAGAACTTAGTAGAAAAGTTTATTTGATTCCTTACTTGAATGCAATATACTAACATATATAATTTAAAACAATAATCTTTTGAGAAGAAAATTATTACCATAGTAAATTAGCAACTTTGAAAATTGAACTGCCTCTTTAACGGTCTCTTTTATTGGAATTGTGTGCAGCTGACATGTACAAAAAGTTCTAATGCTGAAAAATCATAATGAGGAATGTTCAGTCCAGGAATTACCAAAGTTACTGAGCTTCTTGTTGACATTCATGCCTAGGAATATACATGGACATACCTACCATCATAATAAAACAATAATCTTTAAAACATAATAATTCGAATAGTGTGGCTGGTAAAGCATGGTATTCACTTTAATATTCAAAAATTAGAAATATATGGTATATAATAGAATATATATGCTTATCATATCCTATTATGTATGGTGATAATGTTGAAGTATTTACCATTAGTTTACCTTATGTTAATATTATATACTACTGTTTATTATATACTATAGTTTATTACTATTTAAAGTAATAAACTGAACTTGCTAATCAGTGATCTATAATACTCTTTTCACATTTATTTTAAAGTATTTCCCAGAGCTAAGACCCTAACTCTTCCCTTTAGCCAAAATATAATATTTTATATATATCTATAATTGAAATATTAAAATTTCTAACTTCATTATATCAGATGTGTAATATATAGAGAGATGTAGGTATATATGTGTGTATGTATCTAAAGGTATATAAAATTATAAGTAACAAAAGCACTTCTTACTTACTCATATTTGAAAATCAGCCATTAATCAACTGGTATTATTTCTTTCTAAAGATGGGAAAGGATTAGGTCCAGGGTCCATTACAGTTTCTCCTTTATTATATATTATAATAAATATATATGAGATACATTATTATAATTTTTATTATATTATAGTTATATCTTATGGTCATTAATTTTTGTTATATTATTACTTTTTTCCTTTTTATCACAGAAAATAATTTTAATGATCAACTTCTTTGTTTCATTAGCTTTCTTCTACTTTCAGGGAAATCATCTTCTTAATGCTATTCCAAGCAATTTGACCTTTTCTCTTCTAACTAAACACAGATCGTCTTCATAATCTCAATATTGCAATGACCTCATAAAAAATCATTGGAATTTCTTCTTGGTAGTAGCAACAGACTCAGGGATGTTGTGGTTTGCACTTGTAAATGAATATAAAAGTTCTCTAAAGTTGAAAATTTGTATCCCATTCTCAGTCTTTCGTATTTCTTAGGAGAGTAGATCAAATTAATGCCTCTTTCAAGTATAAGAAATCTATACAGATAAAAATATCATCTAAGATAGACATTTTCAAGATTTTGAACACCATCAGTAAACTCCACAGACTTCAATTTTGAGCATTCAAAGAATTTAACAAAGGCTAGCGAGTTCACTTATTTTAAAGAACTTTGTAGTGTTCAATTCTATGTGTTCTATTATATAGTAAATACATGTTATTCAAATAGTAGCAAAAATAAAGAATAACTTGTTGTTTTTGCTCAGTTATAAAGGGCAGTCAAGAAGTATGAGGTGGTTAGAAGACACCATACCTTTATAACAATGCAGGAATTAACTTATCCATATTCTGTCCCCACCATTATGTTTAATTTACTTACAAATGGGTTACTTTAAGAAATAATAGGGTTACTGATGGGAAATACTAAGATATAATATTTAGATAGTTGGGCAGAAAATATGCAAATCTAACTTGTAAATACTTAAGTACAACTTGATTCCTCATTTTCAGGAAATAGAAGCAAACTATTTTTAATGAAGTTTACCTTTCCCCATCCCCTTCAAGAAATTGACTATAACTTGATCACTTCTTTACATTAGATAAAAAATTGGATTGATTTTGAATAACCAAATCTAAGTCTATAATAAGGAGGTACTTATGAAAGAAGTAAAGAATAGGAGCTGAAAGTTTTTTTAAAAATTAGCTTTTTATTATTAATGTAGTAGTTATAATATAGAAACTGAATATATTAAATTTATAGCAAACTTATATTGTTTATTAGGTATTGTGGTCACACTGGTAGACATATATTATACAATTAGAAGAAAAATATTATTGACAATGTTGTTTCTTTAAGGATTCTTGAGAAAAGTACCTATACTTACAAATACATAAACAGGTATCCCTGCAGAGATTGGGAGTATGAGCTGTATACTCAAATCTTGATATAAATGGTTATATTGGCAACTAAGATTTATTGTATTAAAATGTTAGTTCTATCCATATCTCTACACCACAGCAAAAGTCTGAGTGAATGAAATAAAACTGCATCTATGAGAGTCTCCTTATTATAAGTCTCTATCTTAATAAACAGAATGTTTATATTTCTATGATACTCTGACCCTACCTGCTTCAAAACAGAGTACCCAAAATTGGGGTAAAATATGTTCTTTGTCTAGACATTGAAAATGTCATGAAAGATAAAATCTTTGAGGTTATGATGTGTCCTGTGGGAAAGTTAGTGTAAATATAGCATAGCAAGGATTATTTTAAGTCTGGGAAATGTATAACGCATATAAAAATTTCACTTTTTAGCTCCACAAAGTTTTGTTGAGTATTTTCATTATCTATGTGATTTCTAGAGTATTAAAAGCTTTGTTCTATACAATCAGTTGGTTTATATTCCTTCTCTATGTAAATAAGGATATTTTCATTGTAAGGAAAATTTGCAAAGACTGCATTTTGGACCATTTTATTGAGGTATTATTAACATAAAATAAATGGTACAATTTCTTAAGTTCTGATATGTGTACACACCCATGAAAGAATCACCACATCCAAGTTATGCCAAGCATTAGAGAGATAGATTAACCATGATTGTCTCCAAGGAAAGAATAGTAAGAAAGGGCCAGGAAAACTATTTGAAGAATTAATGGTCAAAATCTTTTCAAATTTGATGAAAGATATGAATCTACACACCAAAGAAGCCCAATGATCTCAGAGAAGGATAAAGATAAGGAGTTCCACACCAAGACAATCTCATAATAAAACTATTGAAAGCCAAAGATAAAGATTGATTCTGAAAAAAGTCAGGAGAGAAGTGACTTATCATGTACAAGGGATACTTAAGTTCTCAGTAGAAACCATGGAGGTGAGAAGGCAGTTGGATGACATTTTTTAAGTGCTGAAAGAAAAGCACTGTAAACCAAGAATTCTATATTCAGTAAAATGATTATTCAGAAATGAAATAAAAATATATTCTGAGATAAACTAGAGCTAAGGGAATTTTTCTTAGTAGACCTACCCTACCACAATTGTTACATGGATGTCATCAGGCTGAAATGATATTTCATTAGACAATAACTCAAAGTCATATGTAGAAATATTGAACATAGTAAATATAAGTACAACAGCAAATGTAAACGCTAGTATTTTTACTGTGTTTTTGGTTTCTAGCAATACTTTTTTCAATGTTATTTAAAAGACAAATGCATAAAACAACAATTAAAATCTGTTAATGGGAATAAAATGTATAAAGATGTAATCTTTGACAATAAAAATATAAACAGGGAGACAGATTTGCATGGGAGCAGAGATTTTGTATACTATTGCAACTAAGTTGGTATTAATTCAAACTATATTATTATAAATTTAATATATTAATTGTAATCCCCAGGATAATCACTAAGAATATAATTAAAATATATGGAAAAGGAAGGGAAAAGGGAATCAAATAGTGCACTATAAAAATCAACTAAACACAAAAGATGGTGATAATGGAGAAAATGAGAACTAAAAAGATATGACATATATGAAACAATAGAAAGCTGACTAAAACAAGTCCTTTCTTATTAGGAATTAAATTAATTTTAAATGAATTAAACTCTCCAAGTAAAGGTGGAGATTAGCAGAATGAATTAAAAACATTACTGAAATATATGCTGCCTACAAGGGACTAACTTAAGCCTAGAGACACAAATAGGTTGAAAGTAAAAAGATGGATAACACTATTCTATGAAAATAGCAATCAAAGATACCTGGGATGGCTATACTATATCAAATGAAATAGACTTTAAAACAAAAGATGTTACTAGATATAAAGAATGCCATTTCATAATGATAAAAGGTCAATCTAGCAAGAGGATATAATAATTATAAATTTACATACACCTAATTATGGAGTACCGGAATATATAAACCAAACATTGACAGAAATGAAGATTGAAATAGACTATTCAACAAAAATAGTTGGAGACTTCAATACCCAGCTTTCAATAATGGATAGAAAATTCAGCAGAGATCAACAAGAAAACAGAAGACTTGAACAATACTAAAATCCAACAGATCAAACAGACATTTATAGAACATTCCATTCAACAATAGAATACACATTATTTTCAAGTGGACATGGATAATTCTAGAGCATAGACTATATTCTAAGTCATAAAACAAACCTCAAAAGTATAAGAATGTAAAAGTATAAGAATGATACAAATTACACTCTGTAACACAATGAAGTGAAATTAGAAATCAATATCAGAAATAAATTTACAAAATTCACAAATATGTGGAAATTGAGAAAAAAAATCCTAAATAACCAATAGGTTAAAGAAGAAATCAGAATGTAAATCACAAAATAATTTTAGAAGAATGAAAATGAAAACACAACATAACAAAATTGAATGCAGTTATCTAAAGCAATGCTGAGAGGGAAGTTTATTAAATGCCTATGTTAAGAAAGAGGTAGTGGCCTTGTCCTCCACCTTTTTCTTATTGTGCAGACGCCACCCAGCTCTCATCAGCCTCTGGCTATCAGTCCTTTAAGACCTAGCACCATGCCTTTAATTAAGTTGCAGAGTTCTGATGGAGAGATATTTGAAGTTGATGTGGAAATTGTCAAACAGTCTGTGACTATCAAGACCATGTTGGAAGATTTGGGAATGGATGATGAAGGAGATGATGACTCAGTTCCTCTACCAAATGTTAATGCAGCAATATTAAAAAAGGTCATTCAGTGGTGCACCCACCACAGGGATGACCCTCCTCATCCTGAGGATAATAAAAACAAAGAAAAGCGAACAGATGATATCCCTGTTTGGGACCAAGAATTCCTGCAAGTTGACCAAGGAACACTTTTTGTACTTACTCTGGCTGCAAACTACTTAGACATCAAAGGTTTGTTTGATGTTACGTGCAAGGCTGTTGCTAATATGATCAAGGGGAAATCTCCTGAGGAGATTTGCAAGACCTTCAATATCAAAAATGACTTTACTGAAGAGGAGAAAGCCCAGGTATGCAAAGAGAACTAGTGGTGTGAAGAGAAGTAAAATGTTGTGCCTGACACTGTAACACTGTAAGGATTGTTTCAAATACTAGTTGCACTGCTCTGTTTATAATTGTTAATATTAGACAAACAGTAGACAAATGCAGCAGCAAATCCATTGTATTAGCAGAATATTATCCTCATCACATGTGTAGTTTGAGTACAGATTCCAAACCTATGGTTGACTTTCTTCTAGTATGATGGGAAGTTTCTTTTTTCTTTGCTCTGAATAAAACTGCACTGTGGGTTTTCTATATAGAAAGTGGCATTTGGGGCTTTCCCTCTTTTTTGGAAAGTGATTTCTGCCTACTTTATTGTCCAGTTAACTTTAGTGATCTTTTATAAGTTGGCATTGTACATAAAACAACTTACAAAGAATTTTCTGAAATAAAATTAAGAAAATACTATCTTAATGAATGAGTTGGAAATGGGAGAAAGGCTAGTTGAAGTAAATGTTCTAAGTAGGGTTATTAAGATGCCTTCTAGCCTCCTACAGTCAAGGAGTAACACTGGTATTGATTAGCCTGTATGTAGCAGGGCTCCCTTAATTGGATCTGAGGACTTTTTAAATTTATTTTTAATTCTCTTAGCTTTGAATATATTGCCTAGACTAGAGACATAGTTACTACCCAGTTCATGGTTTTCTTTTGGAGAAATGTAACTGGACAGTTTGTTAGCTTTTCAATTAAAAAAGACACTTAACCCATGTAGTATGTCATCATTTTATCATTGTTCCTATGTGGGGAAAACTCACACTACTGCATGGAAAAAGATAAGCTTTAACTTTAAAATATGTGGCAAAATTCAGAAAATATCCATCATGAATGCAAGATACTTTCAATAAAAAGTAAGTTACATAGTAAAAAAAATGTCTGTTAAGAAAGAAGAAAAGATATTAATTGAATAATCTAACCTCTCATCTAAAGAAACTGCAAAAAGTAAGGCTAAACTGTATCTAGAGCAAACATAATGAAGAAAACAGTAAATATTAAAGCAAAGATAAATTAGATAATACAAAAACAATAGGGAGAATCAAAGAAACCAAAAGTTGGTTTTTTGAAAAACCTTTAAGTAGATTGACTGAAAAAAAAGAAAAGAGCCTCAAATTATTAAAACCAAAGATGGGAATGGGAACATTATTATTAATTTTACAGAAATAAAAAAGATTATAAGATAGTACTGTAAACAATTGTAGGCCAACACATTCAATAACCTAGATAAAAATTTTCAATAAATTACAGGAAACACAATACTGGACAAGAATTAATCATGAAGAAATAGAAAATCTGAACAGACTGATAACAAATAAAGAGATTGAATCAGTAATTAAAAACCTCCCCCAAAAGAAAAGCCCAGGCCCAGGTGGTTTCACAGGTGAATTCTACCAAACCTTTAAAGAAGAATTAGAACTCATTTTTCTCAAACATTTCTAAGCAATAGAAGAGGAGCAAACACTTTTTAGCTCATTCTAAGAGGCTAGAATTATACTGATACTGTGCTATACAAAGACGCCACAAGAAGAATAAGATCGATATTCTTTATGGATATAGATACAAAATTATAATAATATACTTGTAAATTCATCCCAGAAGCATATGAAAAGGATTATGCACCATGACCAAGTAGAATGTATTCCAGGAATACAAGGGGGTCAACATATAAAAATTCATCAATGCAGTTTAGGAAAACATATGTTAAATCACAATATCACCATACTAGTCATGTCAGACATTTTAATTTTAGTCACTGTAAATGGCTATGTAATGATATCTCATAGTGTTCTTAATTTGCATATCCATAATGAGTAATGCATCTTTTCATAGCTTATATCTTCTTTGATGAAAAAGCTGATCAAATTTTTGTACTTTTTTTTGTTTTTCCCCTTATTATTAATTATATCCTTAAAGTTCTTTGCATATTCTGGACATAGACCCTTCATCTGTTGTATGCTTTGTAAATAATTTCTCCTTAATCTGTGGCTTTTCCCTTCATTCTTTTGAAGGCATCTTTCAGAGATGAGAAGTTTTTAACATTAATCCAATTTATAAATTTTTAATATAGATCATGCTTGGGTGTTTTATATACAAAATATTTGCATAATGCAAGACACAAGAATTTCTTGTATGATTTTTCAATAAGTTTTATAGTTTTAGTTTTCATATTTTGGTCTGGGATCCATTTGAGTCTATTTTGGCCTATGGTTTGAGTTAGAAATTGAAGTTCATTTATTTTGCATATGATATGAAATTGTTCTGAAATACCTTCACAAAATTATCTTTGAGCCTTTGTCAAAAGTCAGTTTTTAAGGTATACTGCAGGCCTATTTATGGACTCTTTGTTATTTTCCATTAATATACTTTTTGCTGTTACAGCAATACATAGAGGTTTGATTAATATAGCTTTTTAATAAATCTTCAAAACAGGTAGTATTGTCCCTCCAACTTGTACTCTCTTCTGAAAGCTCTTTGACTATTTCAGGTACTGTGTATTTCCATATTTTTGTATTTCAATAGATTTAGAAGGTATAAGAGTTTTTTGTTTTTGTATAGCATATTGGTTAGAATTTATAATTTTGCCTTTACTTAGCAAAAATTAGAGGTATATCCTTCCCCTCCACACTGTTTTTTGATACATGGATGAATTATATAATGCTGACATCAGTGATTTTAATGCTCCCATCACCAGAATAGTGTATATTGTACCCAATAGGTAATTTTTTATCCATTACTTCTCTCCCTTCCCCTTCTTAGTTTCCAATGTCCATTATGCCCTTTATGACTATATATATCCATTGTTTAGCTCCCACTTATAGTGGGAACATGTGGTATTTGTTTTTCTATTCCTGAGATACATGACTTAAAATAATGGTCTCCACTTCTATATAAGTTGTTGCAAAAGATATTATTTCATTTCTTTTTACAACCAAGTAGTACCCTATGGTGTGTGTGTGTGTGTGTATGTGTGTGTGTGTGTGTGTGTGCATGTGCGCGCGCGCCATATTTTCTTTAGCCACTTATATATTGGTGGGGACTTAGGTTGGTTTCCTATCCTTGCAATTATGAATTGTACTGCAATAAACATACAAGTACAGGTGTTTTTTTGATGCAATGATTTACTTTCCTTTAGGTAGACCTCTAGTAGTGGGATTGCTGGATCAAATGGTAGGTCTATTTTTAGTTTTCTGAGGCATCTCCATACTGATTTCCATAGAAATTGTACTAGTTTACATTCACAGCAACAGTGTATAAGCTTTCCCTTTCACCACATCCATGCCAACATTTATTGTATTTTGACTTATTAATAATGAAGAGATAAAGAAGTATCCCATTGTGTTTTTAATTCATATTATCCTGATAGTTTAGCATCTTTCACACAAATTTTGGCCATTTGTATACCTTCTTTAGGAAAGAATTCTGTTCATGTCTTTTCCCCACTTTTTGATGGGGTTGTTTTTTTCTTGCTGATTTATTTGAATTATTTTTAGACTCTGGACATTAATCTTCTATCAGATGTTTAGTACATAAATATTTTCTTCCATTCTGTGAGTTTTCTATTTACTCTGCTGATTATTTCCTTTGTAGTGCCGAAAATTTTTAGTTTAATTAAGTCTCATTTATTTCTTTTTGTTGCTACTATATTTTCTTTTGAGGTCCCAGTCATAAATTCTTTGTTTGGGCCAATTTCAAGATTAGTTTTTCTAAAGTTTTCTTCAGAATTTTTATTGTTTCAGCTCTTACATTTGAGTCTTTAATCCATCTTGAGTTAATTTTTGCATGTGGTGTGAGATAGGGATCCAGTCCCGTTCTTCTACATGTGGCTATCCAATTTTCCTAGCATCACTTATTGAATAGGGCGTCCTTTCCCCAGTGCATGTTTTTGTGGGCTTTATTGAAAATCATCTGCCTGAAGATATATGGTTTTATTTCTTGGTTCTCTTTCTTGTTCTGTTGATGTATATATCTACCTGTACATCAGTACTGTGCAGCTTTGGTTACTATACACTTGCAGTATAACTTCAAGTTGGGTAATGTGATACCTCCAGATTTGTTCTTATTGCTTAAGATTGCTTTTATTATTTGTGTTCTTTTTTGGTCACAAATGAAGCTTAGAATTCTTTTTTCTAGATCTGTGAAAAATGACTTTGACATTTTTATAGGTATTGCACTAAATATGTAAATTACCTTGAGCAGTGTGGACATTTTAGCAATATTGATTCTTCCAACTATTTAGAATAGATGTTTTTCCATTTGTTTGTGTCATCTATGATTATTTTCATCAGTGTTTTGGCGTTCTTGTATAGATCTTCCATTTCCTTGGTTAATCATATTCCTGGGCATTTTATTTTTGTTGTGTTCTTTCCTGGCTTTGGTATCAGGGTGATAACATCTTTGTAGAATGAGTTAGGAAGGATTCCTTCCTTCTCAATATTATGTAACAGTTTCAGTAGGATAAGTGCCTATTCTTTGTAGGTGTGGTAGAATTCAGCCATGAATCCATCTGATTCTGGGCTTTTGTTTTATTGGGAATTTTTTTATTACTGATTCAATCTTGCTACTCATTATTGGTCTGTTCAAGATTTCTATTTCTTCCTGATCAAAGGTTGAGTGGTTGTGTGTTTCCAAAAATTTATCCATTTTTCTCTAGATTTTCTAGTCTGTGTATGTAGAGGTTTTCATAGTTGTCACAGATGATCTTTTGTATTTCTTTGATATTAGTTGTAACATGTCCTTTTTCATTTCTTATTGAGCTTATTGGAATTCTTCCTCTTCTATTCCTGGTTAGTCTAGCTAGTGGTCTAACCATTTTATCTTTTCAAAGAACCAACTTTTTGCTTTATCAATCCTTTGTATTCTATTTTTTGTTTCAATTTTGTTTAGTTCTGCTATGATTTCTGTTAATTCTTTTCTTCTGCTAGATTTGGATTTGCTTTGTTCTTCTTTTGGTAGTTCTTTGAGATGTGACATTATGTTGTTAATTTATGATCTTTCTATCTTTTCAATGTAGGCGTTTAGTACTATAAAACTTCATTTTAGCACTTCTTTTGCTGTATTCTAAAGATTTTGGTAGCATGTGTCCGTTTTGTTCATTTTAAATCAGTTTAT